TTTGTTCCCAGCTGTATTGAACTTTTACACATAGAGACAGTGCAATTATTTCTCATTTTTAACTGCTCCAAACTACTCTGCTTATCAGTGAAAAGCTGCTACTGCACCATAACATTTCTGGTGCAATTTGCACTTGTACTGGAACATTAGTTTTCTCGTTGAAATAAATACCTGCATTTACATAGAACATAGAACAGTACAGCCCTTCTGCCCATGAAGTTGTGCTGACCTATTATCCTCCTAAGATCAACCTACCCTGTATACCCTACATTATACTATCAGCCATGTGCCTATCCAAGAGTTGCTTAAAAGTCACTAAAATATCTGAATCCACTGCCACTGCTGGCAGCACATTCCACACACCTACCACTCTGACATCTCCCCTATACCTTCCTCCAATCACCTTAAAATTATGCCCCCTTATAATAGTCATTTCCACCCTGGGAAAAAGTCTCTGGCTATCCATTCTATCTATGCCTCTCATCATCTTGTACACCTCTATCGAGTCACCTCTCATCCTTCTTCGCTCCAATGAAAAAAGCCCTAGCTCCCTCAACCTTTCCTCATAAAACCTGCCCTCCAATCCAGGCAGCATCCTGGTAAATCTCCTCTGCACCCTCTCTAAAGCTTCCACATCCTTCCTATAATGAGGCGATCAGAACTGAACACAATATTCCAAGTGTGGTCTAACCAGGGTTTTATAGAACTGCAGCATAACCTCACGGCTCTTAAACTCAATTCCCCTGCCAATGAAAGCCAACACACCATACGCCTTCTTAACAACCCTATCAACTTGGTTGGCAACTTTGAGGGATCTATGGACATGGACCCCAAGATCCCTCTGTTCCTCCACACTGCTGAGAATCCTGCCATTAACCCTGTATTCTGCATTCAAATTCAACTTTCTGTAGAGTCCTTACTGTTGTCTCATTTTTGAAGTGTTTCAAATTTCTTCAAAGAACTGATTACTTTTGATGTTCTGTTACTGTTACTTCGAAAAATATGAGTTATTCTGCACCAAAGTGCCACAAATGTAATCTGCTTCTCCAAAATCCTCACTAATGGGAGCAACCTTGGCCTGATCAACTGGAAAACTTCCAGTTTTTCTTTGAATAATACCATGAGAATGTTAAAACCCACCTGAACAAATGAAATGGACGTCAGTTTCACAAGTCTTAAAGATAGCATATCAAACAATGTAACATTCCCTCAGGAATGTGCTGGAACATAGACCAAATTACAAAATGGACATTTTTTTTCAAATGTAATCATTCTTAGACAACAGAACCAAGCTACGTCATTAATTTACTGACATTTATCTTCACTTTCTCCCTGCTTTGTATTCTTCACACCAATTCTTTTTCTTACCACAGAACCATATTCAATTCAAAGTCAAATGAATCAGTTTCCAGGAAGTTACCAGTCTTGGTGAACCAAAGAGACAACTGAAATGCAGAAGTCTCATCAGGGGAGAGGTTTTATGTGAACTCTGAAATGATCGTCCGACTAATATTCGTCACAAAGTGGCTGCATTCACTTGATCAAGGAGATAAGGGATTGACTGTCACAATTCAGTGCTCTCTAATGGAGACGATTCTCTTCTCTTGCTTTAACTATATCAACTGCCCATTCCTTGTTTAGTAAAATGTTGTTCACCCAACAGGTATCAAGTAGATTATGCCTTATTTGATGAGTGAATTCCAAAATAAGAGAAAAATGGATACTTGTTCTGTATGGATGAGCAAAGTGGAGAGACCAACTTTGTAGATACACTCATCGTTGTGTTTCATAGACAGAAGACAATCACATAGCAAGAAACAATTGATGAACACATTCAGCTGCTTCTGACCACCACATCTGCATTTTCTTGCCTCTGATTCATCTGCCTTTTAGAAAATGTTGCATTTCTCATAATTATCACATTTTCAAAGGACTTTGTCACTAACCTCCCAAAAGCTTTGTTCTTTGGGTCAGTTTCATTCTTGTTCCTGGTATATGCCGTCGATTTATTCCACTGCTGATGCTTCGTAATTCCTGTGCTACCTATTCCCTCAATTTACCACAGCTCTTCTTCATTTACTATACTAACAATGTTGCAGGTATATCTTCATATATTCTTTACTTCATACCTTCTTTACTTCATACTTCACATTTGTAGATGACAAGTCCACTAGCTCTAGAGTGTGTTAGGTTTTAATCACCCATCTGTTTCCTTCCTTACTCCACAGAAGATTTTTTTGCTCTTCAACCTATGTACATGCTTACCACAGGCTCCAATACAAAAGAAATGTGGCACTAATTATAGACTATAACAGTGACAATTTGTCTATTAAAAAAAGTCACAAGGTGCATCGCAGGAGCACTTCAAATAAAATTTGCCATTGAGCCACATAAGACGACATTAAGGTAGAGGATCAAAAGTTGGTCAAACAGATAGGTTTAGAGTAGCATCTTAAAGGAAGAGAGAGAGTTACAGAGGTATAGAGATTTAGGAGGAAATTCCAAAACCTGGGACCTTGGTGGCTGAAGGGACAACTATCAATGGAACAATTAAAACCAGGAATAAATGAGATATCATAATGGGAAGACTGCAGTTATCTTGAAGGGCTGTACTGATGGAGAAGATAAAAGATAGTGAGAGGAAGGAATGCATGGTGTGATTTGAAAATAAGGAGAATGAGAAGTTTTACTTAAGGTATTCCTTAACTGGAAACTACTATCATTACGTCAGTAAGCACAGGGCCAATAAATGAAGAAGCTTGGTGCAAGAGAATGTGCACAGTAGAGTTTTGGATTACTTCAAGTTTACACAGGGTGGAATGTGTGAGGGCTGCCAGAAGTGTACTTAAATTAGCAAGGCAAGCTGTAACAAAAGCACAACGAGCATCAGAGGATCTGAGACAAGGCTGGCGTTGGACGATACTATGGAGATAGAAATCAGTGGTATTGTGACATTGCAGATACTTCACTTGAAGTTCATCCTCGGGTCAATATGACACCAAAGTTACAATGAGGCTGGCTCATTTTCATAAAGTGGCCAGGAAGAGAGATGGAGGAGGTGGTTTGAGAATGGACTTCACAGACTGATTTCAGGGCTGAAAATAATATTTTTGTTCTTCTGAGAATGTGGTTTGAGGAAATTCCAGATGTCAGAAAGCCATCTAACAATTTAAAAACAGTGGTTTCAAGAGAGGTGGTGATGACGTAGTGTTGGCTGTAACAACACACATGTGGAAATGGTCACTATGTTTTGCGATAATGTTACCAAGGCAACATCTAGATGAGAAACAAATGGAGTTGAAGGATGGATCCCTCAGAGGCACCAGATATAACGGAATGGGAGCCTGGCAAGCAGACATTGCAGGTGATTGTCTGGGCATGATCACATAGATAAGAATAGCATCAGGCCATGAGAGCCCAATGAGGTGAATAATGGTGAAGAGGAGTTGGAGGAGGACGGTGTAGCCAATCACGTCAAAGATCGAGAGGATGAGGAGGGATTGGCTACCTTTGTCAGTCACATGGGATGTTATTTGAAACTTTGATAAGAGCTGTTTTAGTACAGTAACAGAAGCAGCAATGTAGTTTAAGGGATTCAAACATGTAAAGTTCTGGGTAAAATGAACACAGATTTGGAAGGCACATTTAAGAACTGTGGACAGCAAAAAAAGGCTGGCGATGGGGCAATAGTTCACAAGAGTAGCTGGTCATATATTTTCTTTTCAAGTGAGGGGAGGGGTGATGACAGCAGACTTCAAGGAGAAGAGACAGTGCTTGAGGTGAGAGACCAATTTCAATGTTGACCAATATCAGTTCACACAGGAACTGGGAAGATATGTTGGTTGGTCAGTGATTAGTTGAAAATAAAATTGAGAGCTCTTTGTGACGAGGTAAGGGAAGGCAAGTATGACAGAGATAGTAAGAGCGTAAATCATCACATGGAGGAAAAATGGTAAAAAGTGGGAATACGATATTTAAGTTATTAAGTTTCTTTTGGGCTAAGAAATAGGTATTCAGATGGTACAAATGTTTTAACTACATGGGATCCTGATCCACTCAAGGATCCTGAATGGATCCAGTAAAAGATCATCTTTGCCAGAATTTTAGAATTTTGACAACTATTTTTATACACCAATTAAAATGTGCCTAATCACATTTAGAGGTATGTGGATATGACAACATTATTAAGTAGGCAATATTTGTCTACGGTAAATTCCAGTTATTACAATTGAGCACTCCCAATGGTTACAAGAAAACACGAGAAATAAATTGACCTCAAGGCGTTACCTGTCCTCATCTTGGGGAAATAAAATCATCTGGGCGTTGGTAGAGGTTTACAGGTCTGGAAATATTTGCTTTGCATCGTTTTTTGTTCCGCAAGATAGTGCTAAGAATGGAGAAAGGATGAACAGCACCTGCCTTTTGAGTATGCCGGGGGACAGCAAAGGAGGGAGAGAAAAATCTTCTCATCGACCCCCTTTTAAAAGGCTAAGCCACTTCACTCTTTCCTAGGGCGAATCACTGCAGAAATAAGGACGTTCACAGTACCAAATTCCTTCGTAGCTTCTGAGCTCCAAACCTGGGTGGCGCACATTGTGTACATTCTTGCTCCTTTTCTGGATTTATTTGGATAACAGTGAGGGCCTGTGTGAATAAGCAGCCCCTGGAGCCAACCAGTTTTCCTAGGGCCGGTTTCCATAACATTGTACGGCTTCTGCGAAATAATGCATTAGACCAAACGCAACCAACATTTGGCGTGCTCAAAAGAATAGTAAAGACCTTATTGATATTTGTGCTGCGTTTTGGCAACAATCTCATCCCTCGTTCCGCCCTATTCAACCAGCACTGGGGGCTAAATGACCCCTATCTCTACAGGCGACAGCATCCTACCTCCTGTACCGAGTCCCTCTCCTGGCTTTCTTCGCGAAGGTACGGGTATTTCTGGTTCTGCAACCGTTCACGGAGATATTCTGAAGGCCACAGGCAGATGGCTGACTTACCCCAGCTATTTCGCTCTTTCCGATTCCTCGCCGTGTTTTTCTGTGCCATTTTGCTGGCGTCTGCACGGTGCAGCCGTTTACGGAAGAGGATCCCTTTCGGAAGGGCGTCTCTCTCTCTCTCTCTCTCTCTCTGCGAGGATGACGAGTTGTGAGGTTGAAGCCTTTCGCAGCCCAGTGTTAAACAATGTACTGAAAACGCTAGGGGGTTGCAGTGTGCACATTAGTGTCGTTCAAACGGGGAATATAATGTCACATATATTGATATTAACAACAAGTTGAACAGAAACAATCTTTGTACATATGTGGGCGCCACAGGGTGGGGTTGGTTTGTGTAATTTCTCAGAAGGACAAATTATATTTCGAAGGGGACAAATGCTTTGCCACAAGGACTTTCATTTATTTAGATCACATATTACAGCAAAACAAATGATAAAATGTGAAATCTAAACATTTTCATGGTAAAATGCACAACATGGTGAGACACAATATTAAAAATATTAAAAGTGCAATATGATGGTTCCTCGAATCGTTAATAATTCCTCATAATTCTGAGCAATAGTCTCAGATTCAAAATTGGAAATTGCAGGAAATTGTAGAGTGAATTCCGCAGTATCCTAATTAAGAAACTGTGACTTATATATGGTCAGTTGAGGCCGTTGCTCACATAAAATGAATGCCTGATATTACAACATACTGTCTTGGTGCTGCTGATTTTCCAAACTGAGATGCCTGCACTTGTTTTGGTTGGAGTCATAGAGGTGTGCAGCATGGAAACAGACTCCGGTCCAATTCGTGCATGCCCACCAGATATCCTAAATTAATCTATTCTGATTTGCCAGCATTTGGCCTGTATTCCTCTACACCTTTCCTATTCATATACCCATCCAAATGGCTTTTAAATGTTGTAATTGTACCAGATTTCACCACTTCCTCTGGCAGCTCATTCCATACGTGCACCACCATCTGTCTGAAAAAGTTGCCCCTTAGGTCTCTTTTAAATCTTTCTCCTCTCACCTTAAACCTATGCCCTCTAGTTTTGGACTCCCCTACCCTGGGGAAAAGACCTTGTCTATTCACCCTATCCATGCCCCTCATGATTTTGTCAACTTCTATTAGGTCACAGCTCAGCCTCCAATGCTGCAAGGAAAATAGCCCCAATCTATTCAACCCCTCCCTATAGCTCAAACCCTCCAACCTGGCAACATAGAACATTACAGCGCAGTACAGGCCCTCCGGCACTCGATGTTGCGCCGACCTGTGAAACCAATCTGAAGCCCATCCAACCTAAACTATTCCATTATCATCCATATGTTTCTCCAATAACCATTTAAATGCCCTTAAAGTTGGCGAGTCTACTACTTTTGCAGGCAGGGCATTCCACGCCCTTACTACTCTCTGAGTAAAGAACCTACCTCTGACATCTGTCCTATATCTATCACCCCTCAATTTAAAGCTATGTCCCCTCGTGCTAGCCATCACCATCCGAGGAAAAAGGCTCCCACTGTCCACCCTATCTTTTCTGAACCCTTTCAAGTTTCACAACATCCTTCCTAAAGCAGGGAGACCAGAACTGAATGCAGTATTCCGATAGTGGCCTAACAAATGTTCTGTACAGCTGCCACATGACTTCCTAACTCCTGTACTCAATGCACTGACCAATAAAGGCAATTATACCATCTGCAAAACATTTACTTGTTTCAATAAACATAGTTTATAGTTTTGAAATGTAACAAACAATAGTATTCAGAAGTAATTAACAATGCTAAGGGGAGGTGATGGCCTAATGGTATTATCACTGGGCTATTAATCTAGAGAGACTGCTGTAATGTCCTGGGGTATAGAGGTTCAGATCCCCCTGCATCAGGTAGATGATTTTGAATTCAATACAAATCTGGAATTAAAAGTGACCACTCAAACCCATCTAGTTCACTGATATCCTTTAGGGAAACTGCCATTACATAACTCCAGACCACACAGCAATATGCTTAATTACCCCTCTGGGATGGACAATAACCAGCAATGCCCTCACCATTGAATTACAAAAAAAAGTGTTCAGAGTATTTTATGAGCAATTGATTACTGATTCATTGATGTAGGTTTCAAAAAACACTCAACTTCTGACAAAACAAAATACTGCAGATGCTGGAAATCTGAAATAAAAAAAGCTGGAGGAACTCAGCAGGTCTCACAGAATCTATGGAGACAGAAACAGAGTTAAGTTTTGAGTTCAAATTGGTAACCGAATTCAACCAGATTGGAGCAAAGTACTGATGGAAATCTGAAACGATTATTCCTAACTCCAAAATTTGCAGCACCTTACTTTCATGTAGAGCCTTACTAATGAATTGAAAGATTGTGGCTTTTATCACTAAATTGGACCTTGGCCTTTTTTCGTCTTCTGACACTCTCCTCCTTTGAGCTGCTTATCACAGTGCCTTTCTCAACACTCCGTTAAACAGTTCATTCATTGCTACTCTCAAGGCTCTCTCCATTTCTCTTCCAGATGTGTTTTCTCTGTAAGTCCCTGTACTGAATTACTTCTCGACTCAATTATTTTCAATCTTCATCCCAACTCAGTTAATCCTTTTCTGATGAAGGATCTAGGCCTGAAACGTCAGCCTCTCTGCTCCTATAATGCTGCTTGGCCTGCTGTGTTCATCCAGCCCTGCACCTTGTTGTCTCGGATTCTCCAGCATCTGCAGTTCCTACTATCTCAGTTAATCCTTGCTCCTCTAATTTTACTGCCCTACTGACGAGAAAGCCTGTATTTCCATTATCCACAACTCGCGTGAGTATATCACATTGGCTTCCACATCTGCTTTCAGCGGGCAGTCAGATCTCCCAAATCAGGGCTTCCTATCAAAATAAAACAGAAATCCAGCAGTTGGCAGGTACAGGACCGCAAGTACTGAGTTGCTGTTTGATTTGTGCTAACACTCCCTTCCTGCCAAGTAGCGTGACCGGGAGGAGGAGCCAGGCTCAAAATGTTTCTGGAAGCGGTCATCTTCCATTCGGCAACACATTTTGTTTATATACATTCATGTTTGCATTTTACAACAAAAATCAAGGAGATTATTGGTATTTAAGACAAATTAGTGTCTTTCACCTAATTTACAATTACATGGCAATTTAACTAAAAATACCACAGAAATAAACTTATAGTAATAAATGTAACTTTGGAAAGTATTATTGTTTGCTGTTCTGCTTACATAGGAAGAGGAGGAAGCCACTCAGCCCCTCGAGCCTGTTCCACCATTCAATGAGATCATGGTGGATCTGTGCCTAACTCATTTACCTGTCTTTGAACCATGTCCCTTAAAACCTTTGCTTCATACAAAAAAAAATCTTCGATTTAAAATTAACAACTGATCCAGCATCTATTGCTGTTTCAGGAAGAGAGTTCCAAACATCTCTTTGCCTCCAAAAGTCCTTTGCATTGCCTGCAAAGTATATTTTGAACACAAATCCATTAAACTTTAACCTTATGATTTAGAGTCATAGAGGTGTACAGCATGGAAACAGACTCCAGTCCAATTCATCCATGCCCACCAGATATCCTAAATTAATCTATTCTGATTTGCCAGCATTTGGCCCGTATCCCTCTACACCTTTCCTATTCATATACCCATCCAGATGGCTTTTAAATGTTGTAATTGTACCAGCCTTCACCACTTCTCCTGGCAGCTCATTCCATACATGCACCACCCTCTGTCTGAAAATGTTGTCCCTTAGGTCCTTTTTAAATCTTTCCCCTCTCACCTCAAACATATGCCCTTTAGTTTTGGACACCCCACCCTGGGGAAAAATCTGGACTTTTTGCCCTATCCATGCCCCTCATGATTTTGTAAACTTCTATAAGGGCACCCCTTAGCCTCCAATGTTCCAGGGAAAATAGCCGCAGCCTATTCAGCCCCTCCCTACAGCTCAAACCCTCCAATCCTGGCAACATCCTTGTAAATCTTTTCTGAACCCATTCAAGTTTCACAACATCTTTCCTACAGCAGGGAGACCAGAATCAATTGCAATATGCCAAAAGGTGGCCTTACCAATGTCCTGTACAGCCACCACATGACCTCCCAACTTTTGTACTCAATGCACTGACCAATAAAGGCAAGCATACCAAATGCCTTCTTCACCATTCTGTCTACCTGCGAGTCCACTTGCAAGGAACTATGAATCTGCACTCCAAGGTCTCTGTTCAGCAACACTCCCCAGGAACTTGCCATTAAGTGTATTAGTTCTTCCCTGATTTGCCTCCCCAAAATGCAGCATCTCACATTTATCTAAATTGAATCTTGAAGGGTAATGCCCGAAATGTTGACTGTTCCTTTCCTCTAGATGCTGCCTAGCCTCCTGTGTTCTTCCAGCCTCCTGTTTGTCTAAATTAAACTCCATGTGCCACTTCTCAGCCCATTGGCCAATCTGACCAAGGTCTGTTGTACTCTGAGGTAACCTTCTTCACTGTCCACTACACCTCCAATTTTGGTGTAATCTGAAAACTTACTAACCATACCTCCTACGTTCACATCCAAATCATTTATATAAATGATAAAAATCAGTGGGCCCAGCACCGATCCTTGTGGCACATTGCTGGTCACAGGCCTCCAGTCTGAAAAGCAACCCTTCATCACCACTCCGTGTCTTCTACCTTTGAGCCAGTTCTGTATCCGAATGGCTAGTTCTCCCTCTATTCCATGCGCTCTAACCTTGCTAACCAGCCTACCATGAGGAACCTTGTCAAATGCCTAACTGAATCCATATAGATCATGTCCACCACTCTGCGTTCAGCAATTCTCTTGGTTACTTCTTCAAAAAAACTCAATCAAGTTAGTGAGACATAATTTTCCATGCACAAAGCCATGTTGACTATCCCTAATCAGTCCTTGCCTTTCCAAATACATGTAAATCCTGTCCCTCAGGATCCCCTCCAACAATTTGCCCACCACCAATGTCAGGCTTACTGGTATATAGTTCCCTGGCTTTTCCTTACCACCTTTCTTAAATAATGGCACCACATTAGTCAATTTTCCAGTCTTCCTGCACATCACCTGTGGCTATTGATGATACAAATATCTCAGCTAGAGGCCCAGCAATCATTTCCCTAGCTTCCCACAGGATTCTAGGGTACACCTGATCAGGTCCCAGGGATTTATCCACCTTTGTACATTTTAAGAAGTTCAGCACCTCCTCCTCTGTAATATGGATATTTTTCAAGATATTGTTATCTATTTCCTCAAGTTCTCTATCTTCCATATCCTTCTTCACAGTAAACGCTGATGCAAAATACTCATTTAG